TGGCCAACTTACCATACCTTTGCTAGTTACTCAGACAGCCAGAACGACAGAAACAACTGCTGGTAACTAATTTTAACGTTAGTTACTTAACATAAAGTTATTGTATATTCCGTGTTTAGAGTATTATGGAAGGTGGTCGATTTTGTTGTGATCAGCTGATTGAAACTGGGTTCCATACACTGAAGTACCGTTTGATTAGATGATTCTTCGGTTCAGCCGGATGAAGATATTCAGGATGTTTTTCTCATGATTCCAATTATCACTCGGTCTAGCGGGCTCATTTACACTCTTCTTCCCTTTAATTTAGAACTGCTTGTTACATCGATGGCTGAAAGTTTGAATTTCCAAGCTGATATGTTTTCTCTTCTGGAATCAGAATTTAGCTAATTTTCCAACATATAAAGCTCGCCACAAGGTTCATGAAGCAATGTAACACATTACTCCAAGTTCTGATGAAGTGAGTTGTTGGTTGACAACCTAATTTCTCTATATCCAACTATCTCTGCAGCCTGCTGTTCTTTGCAGGATAAGTGTTGTATGGTCTATTTAGTTTTAAACTCAAGCTCGAAAGATCAGATCAGTTCAAGCCCTGGTCAGGTCACTCGCCTGTCATCCCTCTAAATCGATAAATGAGTTCCACTTTGTAAGAAAGAAAACATTCGGCTACACGACGTATTTGCCATACATCTGTATATATCGCTTTTAAAAATTTGGCGCTTTTAACTTATGGCATAGAAACTGAGATCAACGTCGGCCCATAAGCTGAATTAAAATTAAGATTCCGTAAATAGCACTCATCTGGATATATAAAGGAATCCTAGGAGATAGCAAACTTTCATTTTTTATCTTATTGCTTTTTATGTCACGTAACCCCTCAGAAACATTCCATACTTAGTGGAAAGTCTTCCGTTTGAAACCGGCAGATATTTGTATGACTTTGATTAATGAAATTTGCGTCTGACTTACCAACGTGCAAAGTGATTAAAGTACAGCAACGTAACGTTTAGCGTGGAAATGTTATTTCTGCAACTCTGTGACTCCGGTCTTACAGCAAAAGTGTTGAAAAGTGAAAATGCAGAGTATATAAAAAAGTACAGATGTTTGAAACGACTTAATGCAATGATTCAAATGAATAACAGCTCCTGATCTGATGTCTTGCAAATATGAATTATGAGCACATATTAAGAGTAGGATAGTTCCTGTATCGTTCTAATGAGCAACGAAACCACACACCGATAAAAGCATCGAAAGGAGAGAAATAAGGACTTTTGTCATTTGTTCATTCATTTTCAAAGCTCGCTATTCCATTCGGTTCGCGTGAACAGCTGCTCTCAGGAAGCCATTCAAATTCTCCGGAATCGACGCAAAATCGGGAGCTGGAACCGACAAAGGGCCACTGTCGAAAACAGCATTAAAACAATGTATTTACACATAACGGGAACAATTTAGTTCATCAAATCGTTGATAAGTGCTAACGATTCAGTTTCGATTTGTGTCTCACTTGCCTTCTTTAAGGTGGTGAGCTTTCTTTCTGTAGACGCCAACCCACCTTTGTACTTTGAAGAAAGCCTGTGAGACCGAAACTGCATCGTCGGTATTCCGTGTATTCACGGCAGTCATTCATTTTAATTTCTGTAAACAAGCTATAGGTTGACAATCCTTCTTATGCTGTGATGCATTGGTGTACTTAAATGTCTCTGTTGGCATCTAGAGGCGGTGCAGTATGAATCTAAATCCAGTTCAAACGATGTTATGAGCATATTAACCTATTGCGGCTACTAACGTACGCCTTTCATGGTTTGTCAAAGTGTGTAAAATGACCAGCTCCAAAATATCATTGACGACGAGCAAGATATGGTAATAGCCAACTATAGAAGGTTCGCTGATGCATCTAAAGCATCAGGTACTCCACTGTCACCTACCCGTATCTCAATATGCATTTAACAGCAAGAGAGCTGTGCAAAACGTCTTGCAAATCTGATATTAAGATAGTTGTTTGTTTTGTATGCACTATGAATTTAAATCCAAACCATTCTTTAATTAATGATTGTCATATTTAATTGGTTTCGTTTTTAGAAACATGTTTTGAAATTGTGCATTCGAAATTGTTTTCACCCTGGTGCCAGCACCTTGGTTCCTCTGCCGCAGTTTGACAGCTCAAAGGTGTCCAGCTGGAAGGTTCTCAAAAAAATGGTCACCTATGTATGGCCTAAAGATAATAAACGTTTGCGGTACCGAGTTTTGTTTGCACTGGCACTGCTTGTCAGCTCCAAGGTAAAATTTGAGGTTTTCAGCGCTGCTGCTGAAAATATTAATATATTTTCAGTTGACAAGCGTAGGCGTGCCTTTCATCTTCAAAGAAGCAATCGACTATTACAATCAGTACAAAGATCATGTGTTCAATCTGGACAATCCTGCCGTGACAGTCGTAACGCTCGGCACAGCGCTACTAATTGCTTGTAAGCGTAATGGTTTTTACATGGCAGATTTCTTTGTCAAAAATAGTTTTCTCTCCTGCCTACTTGGTGGCAAGTATAACATATTGTTTCTTGTTTCTTTCCTACGAAATGATCTGTTTTATACCACGGAAAGAAAACGACCTGGCGAGCGACCTGGCGAGGAACTCTCGAAATTCAGTCTGACTTATGTTCTATCCTTATCTTAGATGATCATCTAAACAGAGCATAATTCTAAGAAATTTAAGCATTCACTGGGCTTTACATGATTATTTTTCAGATGAGCACCCCTTTAAAGTATAGGGAAGGCCCAATAAATTTGTTTAAATCAAATTAGCTATGGACGTTAAGCCTATTTGCGGTATTTGCTACCGTCTGCTTCTGCTGACCAAAATATTTGCTGTTGATTATTCAAGTCAAGTTTATTGGCTTGTGCAACGATTGTTACTGTCACCATAAATGCATCCGTTACTCTAGTATTAAACAGGTTCATGAAATTTATATGCACAGGAGGTTAATGCTAAGTCAGAACATGTACAAGTAATTGCTCTTGCCGCTGTCTGTTTCAGAGTCCTTTCCAGGAAAGGTAGAATTTATCGCCGATAGACATCTGTCTTAACTGGAAAAGCGTTCAATCGGCTGCGTGTGCCCTGATACACGGGCAGTGCGAACTGAAACTTTGCGTTCAATGGGTAACTGTCATCATTCAGTATGATATGACCCAGGAGACAGGCAGCTGCAATTGTTTTTCTCACAGTGCGGCCGTCAGTTTCTTCAGCAAGGATTCTGCTAATCCTAATTCACTATTATAAATTCAGTTCATTCATATTCATTGCTCACCATTCGTTTCAAATTGCTGGGCAGCTGCTTCACGATGCTTTTCTAATGATCCTGACTCTTCACCAAATGGGCAAATTCAATGGTCTGTATTGTAAGACAGTTGAATGCCAGGTCCTCTGAGTAATCGATCTATCTCGTTCGCGGTCTGCTCCTGGGCCATCTTTGTCAAAATGGTCTGCGTCGCGAGTCCCTCTGTTGCTTCCTGATGACATTCCCAGGTCGTTTAAATCACGATGTCTCAATCTTGAGAAGGATCTGTTCATAAACATGGATATCGCTAACATTCATGTTCTGAGACTTGTCTTGTCACAACGC